TTTGAATACATTAATCATCAAACAATGAGCAGTTTTTCCAGTTGAATTAAACTTTTTGAGKAACAAACACAGAAATTTCTGAATTTATTAGCTTTTCCTGATGAAAYTATTAAAAACATATGGCACAAGGCAAGTTTGTGCATATCTCAGCAATCAGTATATTTTCCATACTCTATATCATAATCAAAGGGATATTTTCACTTGCCTGACATAGCAATAGTATGCAGGCTAGAAAGACAATGAATTGGGTTTGGTCACAGTTACAATTAACCTCCAATATATATCGAGATATRATGAGAAATACAATGCATTTTTGATAGAAATAGTATTTTCTCTCAAAAATGCACTGTATATTATAAATGATAATATAGTTCTAACATTACTTYGTTGCTTGAAGATATAAATTTTATATCTTACATGTAGACACTTTTAGAAATTTTATATCTTACATATGGAAATCATTTGAAGAAAGAAAGATAAAATTTGCAGCATGCTGCACACACATTGCAATATCCTCTAAAAACTTATTGATATAAAGAAGAAATTAGGTTGAWTAAAATAACATAAAGGATAGAAGATCAATTAATATGAGCTAACGAAAAAAAACAGTTGATTTGAAATAAAAATGACTAAATTGTTGGATAAATGAACGAATGAGACAACGAATGAATTAGATGCATAATAGAACGGAAAACTAGATAACATAAAACTTGGAATATTTCAATAACAAAAGATAGATTGAGAAATATGATGCAGTCAAAAATACACAAGAATCTATTGTAGAGGCTTTTAAATACTAGAAGACCAAAATACATGTASAACAAGCACAAAATAGCATATAGCTTAATACAGAGAATATGCAGCTGCCTTCACAATGGGAAAGACAGAAGCAACYCAAACATACATGATAATTTATATGATAATACAGTGACTGCCACTCACATGATTCGATTATGGAATGTACCTTGGCAACAACTATAGCACAATAATAATTGAAACTTCTTCATGTAGTTAATAAAACCGCCAACTCAACCCACACGTAATGACAACATCCAACATTTATTTCATTGGGTAATTTATTCAAAAGTAGCAGAATGGATAAGTAATAGCATTACAGTAATGCACATCGTTAACGGAAACAGTACAAAAAGTACACTAACAATGTAATATTATAATAAATTGTCTCCTACCTTCAGGGAATCATTGCAGTGGTCTAGCAGCTCTAGAATGATCAATACATCACCGCAGTCTTGTATAGTGAACCTATTTTCGAGGTCAAACGTTCCTCCAACCAGCTGAAATTAAATCATATCTATCGTGAGTAGCCAACATTAACATTGGGTGTTGTTCATGTGGTTTGGTTCGCTGAACTTACGAAAAAAATCACGAATATCAGACAAAGACCGCAACACATTAATGAAAGCTCCAAGGAATAATTATCTGGATACATTGACGATATTGCTCGAGAAAACTACAGAAAAATCCATTGAATATCTGGAACTCAGCGTTTTTTGGAGAGAATTGACAGGAATGGGAATTCACCTACCGAATCAAATACATTATCCGCAACTTTCTTGTGGTCAGTTTTTCCTTCAGATTCTGCAGAGCTCGTAATTTGAATAAGTGTTGCTAACTTTGTCCTAGCCACAATACTAGCCGTGCTAAACGATCTTTGTCGATCTAACTTTCCTCTTGGTGGAATGCCATCGTCGTTGGGGTCGTCTAGATCTTCTTGTTTTGAAGGTGTCTCAGACCTCTCTTCTTCTCCTTCCGTGTCCGCCATGTTTGTCAATTACCCCTGACGCGCATGCGTAGTGACAGCCTCGCTACGAWGACCAGGTGGACGAAGCGTCCTTCACGACCAAAACATCAACATACCAACATTCATTGCACTTTTGCATTCCTTTTTGCACCTTTGGCTGTTTTATAAATTGCCCCTTCTCTTCCTTCCACTACATAAGCACCTAAAGAAATATATTTGAGCAAAAATGCCTGTGAAAAGCTCTAGAACGAGGGTAAGTTTGACATTTCGAATTCCATCTGGACTAATCGTGATGGATCCAATTTTATACCCATAAAAGTTATAATTATTATATCAGTTCACTGTATGCATAGGTTTTAGGGTCAATTTCAGTAAGTTAAGTTTATGTGCAACCTTAACTTTTTTGAATAATAATCTTATGGTTGAAAAAGTAAGAAGTTGAGTTGATTAGAAACGTTTGCAACAAACGACAAACACTAAGCTTTTAATGATTTGTAAGCTCGAAACCAAATGATACGAACTTAGAGATTCCAGATCTGTACAATTATTCTTCTATTGTCTAATTTATTTGGTAAAATATCATTCTTGTCACAGCATCCGCTGCGTCACATTGAGTTGTATGTAAAACCAATGAATCTTACTAGTTCCTATTGTCCAGTCCATTAAAGTCTTGCATGGGGTCATCCGTCCGTAGAGGAAATCAATTAATAAGAAATACCTCCTCTAAGTCTATACTTACCTGAATGCAAATCTATTTATCATGGATTATAGAGATACAATTCGGAATACAAAAGTCATTACAAGAAGTTTTCATCAAAAAGGCCAGATACAGTAAAGGGAGAGATTACAAGATCAGTCATTCCATATGATCAACAAAGCCATGTATCAACTCCAAGAGCTGGCTTACAGTCTATACAACTTGGAGTTATTCATGAGCCACCATTGCAGAGAAAGAAAATAGTTCCATACGAGAAAAATCATAATATCTTCCCTACTGGTACAATAAAGGAGTTATCAGAACGAGAATGGCTACAGGCTGASAATACTGCCAGAGAGTATGAAAAGCAGCAACACCTCAAAAAATCCACCCKGGTAAATAATATTTAGACATAAAATCAACTTTAGATCWATAATTTAATGTTTMGYGAAWAAGCGTTGGGATTACAATACATGGATCATGCTTTAATGACCTTCCTAATTTAAATTACTTTCTTCCCTTCCTTCCCTTATCTATTTTTAGTGCCAATCTGTGTTTCTTTTTTTAATCCTACTGTACATTCATTTTTTTTTTTTTTTGCTTCCCTTTTAATTCAATCCATCCTATTCTATCTTTCCATGTCATTACCACATAATTTGTCTTTGGCAGCACTGAATCATTCCTTAGATTTCGTTTTAAAGATTGGCTTTTTTCCTTGGTCAGATCAAATCTCCAGAAAAAAAATTGACAAGTGAAATTTTTACCTGCAATCATGACATAAGTGAAACATAATATTATTTGCGCTATAACTTTTTTTGATATATTAATTTATCAAGTGAGAGGTAAAAGGATATTCATCGTGAATCATTGGCTGTTAGAATTTAAGTATTTGAATAGATTGTTAGAGTTGTGATTTATTGTGTCTGCCCCTTATCACTGTTCAACATYGCTGATCTTGTTTCATTCATATAGCCCAAAACCAAGCCACAAGAAAGYCAAGAGTCCCCTCTTTTAGTAGCTGAGAAGAAATTGCTAAGGTCTGCTCCAGCTAAAGTCGTCGGATACAACTATATTTCTGATGGTGTCAAYAGAAGAAGCACATATACTCAGGACTTTGCAGAAAAAGGAAGAAGAAGTAGAGATAAAATGAACAGAGAGAAGTCGCCAATAAGAAAACCAAAACCAGCTGTCGGAGGAACAAAATCTGGTAATTTTTACTGGATGAGATGAGGAATATTTCATTACATAAACTTAGAAGAAAAGTTTATAAAAATAATATATTATATTTGAAAGGGAATTATTTCAAAATAAAGGTTTTTTCATCAGAGTTGAGATTCAGCATTATTGTTGAAAAMACAGTAGAGGAAGACAGTTTTTCTTGATTAATTTGTCAATATTAATGAGCAGTGTGAATGGTAGATTTCAAGATCAACCTTTTTTGAAGATGC